TGCAGCCATGAAATTAAAAGACGCTTACTCCTTGGAAGGAAAGTTATGACCAACCTAGATAGCATATTAAAAAGCAGAGACATTACTTTGCCAACAAAGGTCCATCTAGTCAAGGCTATGGTTTTTCCAGTGGTCATGTATGGATGTGAGAGCTGGACTGTGAAGAAAGCTGAGCGCCGAATAATTGATGCTTTTGAACTGTGGTGTTGGAGGTCACTCTTGAGAGTCCCTTGGACTGCAAGGAGATCCAACCAGTCCATCCTAAAGGAGATCAGTCCTGGGTGTTCATTGGAAGGACTGATGCTGAAGCTGAATCTCCAATACTTTGGCCACCTGATGTGAAGAGTTGAGTCATTGGAAAAGACCCTGATGATGGGAGGGGTTGGAGGCAGGAGGAGAAAGAGATGAAAGAGGATGAGATGGTTGGATGGTATCTCTGACTCGATGGACATGAGTTTGAGTAAACTCTGGGAGTTGGTGATGGACAGGGAGGCCTGGCGTGCTACAATTCATGGGGATGCAGAGTCGGATACAACTGAGTGACTGAACTGAACTGAATGATCTTGTAAGAGGTAAGCAGAAAGAAAAAATACTGCACTAAAGACAATCTGTCATTTAGGAAATCCTTATTTTACATATATGTCTCTAAATAAATTAGGACAACTCTCTGTTTTATACGGAGCTCCATATTTTACATGAAAAATTACAGGGTCATGAAGATGGTACAATTCTATGTTGGTAAAAATAAACCCCTTACATATGTGTACATGTATGAGGAATGAGGAAGGATGAAAAAAAATGTATTACTCTTGTTTACCTCCAGTGGAGAGATGACTGATTTTATACACTTTTGTACCCTATTCAGAGTGACAAGCATTTCCTACCAGTTTTGGACTGGCATCATCATCACCCGGAAGTCTGTTAGAGACCCCTAGGCTCAGGCCTCACCCCAGAACTGCAGGATCAGAATCTGTACTGATACTCCAGGGCTTTCTGCGCATGTTCAGGTTTGAGAACTAGCCCTTCAGTAATCACCACGCTGTAAGGAATGCGCTCACTCAGCTGTGCTCTTCTACCTTAGGTTTCTTTTCACTTGTACCCTCAGCAGTCGCTTTACCACCACTCATCGCTCCTCCACTGTCACCCCTTAATGCCGTTGTGAAAATCAAGAGGAACGTAAAGCAAGCCAGTTCTGCGGTGAGGCAGCCAAAACCAAAGCAAACCACAGCCATTGTTGCTCCCGAGAACAACCTGTTTCATAAAAACTCATTATGATTTTCTTCCATCAGTGTGTTACAAAGAATATCAACCTTGCATGGCTTCCTCACAGGAGCTACCGAAAAAGAATTTAACAGCTTTGGAGAGGCTCCTAGTGGAGAACTAGTCCACTGTGAGTCTCAAAGTTGTTAACATTTTACATTTCATATCTCTCAGGGAGGTTTGTAATAACATTTCCCCCCGGGGAGGGGGGGGGGTCATTCCTATAAATCCAGTTCCCAAACTTTTCCCCCTACACCAATGATCTGAGCTCACTTTTAAAAAGATGAAAAAGAATTTAACAGCTTCAGAGAGACTCATAGTGAAGAACTAGTGGCTAACAGGGAAAAAGTAACATCTCCAAGTAAGGTAGTATTTTCAAGGGAAAAAAAACCAAACACATTTAAGTAGGGCAAGGGGTAGAGACAGAGGAGAAACAGTGAGAGGCAACGTCAGAGGCGGCTGTCCACCCAGGGCTGGGCACACATGGGCACGTGTAAAGGTGCAGGGGGCAGAACACAAGGGGCAGATGAGGAGCTGTGCGGCGGCTAAAACCATGTAAGGACCAGACGAAACTGGGGGCTGGACAGCACAGGCACTGAGGGGCAAGGATGATGAACACTGAGGCGAGATAGGAGAGGGAGGCGAGTGTGTCCAGGTGCTACAGTAAGTACTAGAAAAGGAGTCAACATTGGGAAGACCAGGTGCACCAAAACCTGGCCCAAGAACAGGCCCAGAGAGAACTGGTCATAACCCAGATGCTTAACTGGGCACATACTAATAGCCTGGAGGCACCACCGGCTTCCCAGGTGGTGCTAATGGTGAAGAACCAGCCTGCCAATGCAGGAGATGTAAGAGAGCTGGGTTCTATCCCTGGGTCGCGAAGATCCCCTGGAGGAGGAAATGGCAACCCACTCCAGTATTCTTGCCTGGAGAATACCACGGACAGAAGACCCTGGTGGGCTATAGTCCACAGGGTCGCAAAGAGTCAGACACGACTGAAGCGACTTAGCACAAAGGGACTTGGTCACTCACTCTTGATTTTTAGACACAGTCGTCCTTTGGCACCACTGGAGGACTGGTTCCAGGAGCTGACATGGACACCAAAATCTAAAGATGCTCAAGCGCCACAGTTGATCATTCCCGTCCATGTTTCCACATGCATGGCCTCAACCAACGGTGGATAGTAAGTGGATACTGGTTCACTTACATGTAGATTTATTGAAAAAAAATCTACACTTAAGTGGATCTGTGCAATTCAAACCCATGTTGTTTAAGGGTCAACTGTACTTAGGATTTATCACTAAGCTCTATTCAATGAGTTTTCTCTTTTACTTGTATATTCTGTTAATGATACAAAAGAAATTTCTGTCAATAAAAACTTATACTTTGTGCCTGGAGTATGTTGTCACCCTCAGAAGTGTGAAGGTCTTACATATATTACCTTACCTCAGGTGTTTTTATACAGTTGTTTGGTTTCCAGAATAGCTCCAGCAAATCTGCTGAGCAAAGGGGCTGGTAATGGTTCCAAGACCAACTTTGCTTTGCAGTTGTACCAATGAACTAGCACAGATTCCTTAGAAAACAAGGTATGTGATCAAAAACAGTAATTATCAGTTTTGAGGCTCCAGCTCTCTTAATGCAATGATACTCCTTTCCCTTTTAATAAAAGGTTCAAATACGTTTACTTTTTATTTTAAAAATAAAATTGATTCATAAAGTGCAAGGAGAAATTATTTCTGTCCAGTTCTCCATATCCATCTTCAATGAGCTGTTGGAAACAGAAAAGAAAAATAAAAATTAAATACATAACAGATAACTTCAAATTATTTGTACCGTTTAGTTAAAACATGAACAATAAGACCTGGTGTTACAGATAAGAAAACTGAGACCCTGGAAGTCTGCAGAGCTCTAATGAAAAAGCCAAGACTAGATTCAAAGCTCCTGACTTCCAAGCCACTCACTGTTCTTTCCACTTTCCCAGCCTGCCAAAAAGCTAAGAATTTAGACTGGAGATGACAAAGCATGAATGCAAAGATGTACTATGGTGCTATCAAAGATATTTAAAAATATAAACTGATCAGGGAGAAAAAGAGTGGTAGGAACACCTCCACGGTCCGTCTTTTTGCTTTCTATTTTTTCGAGTGTTTTCCATTTTGAAGCTTAATGTTGTCAAGGTGCATAAGTTTGCACGTGGTTAGGGCAGTCCCGTTAAACACGCACAGGAACTAAACTATGGCACTAAAGTGTGCGTTACCATGGAAAACATAACTTTCTCCTCTTTCTGGGGCCCTTGAAACCCTTCTGCCCCAAGATATTCGTCTATCTCCAAAATCTGCCCTTAAAGCGCTGCTATAAATACTGCTCACCAACTCCAAGACAAGCCTGGCACTGCGGGCGGAGGGCGTGAGACGGGCCTAGCTGTGGCCGAGGCGCCGCACGGGACAGGCTTGATGGTCTCGAGGTGGTCGCGCGGGAGTCGGCGGAGACCAACAGAGCGGGGATCTCAGGCCAGATCCAGCTTCTTCTGCGTCGCCGCCAGCTTGTCTTGCAGCCTCTTCTTCCTCCAGTCCAGGTAGCGCCGCCGCAGCCGGTTTGCCTGCCAGCCCACGAGCACTCCGGAGGCGAAAGCCACCAGTACAGATAACTGCAGCGTCCTCTCGGACACGTCCGCCATCGCGAACGCGGGGCCGGGCAGCGAGGCTACGGCGGGGCGGCGGGTCAAAAGACCTAGCGCGTTCAGGGGCGGGCACATGCGGCGGCGCTTCTCTTGAATCTCGTCGGTGGGTAGAGAATACGCCTGCAATGCAGAAGAACCGAGTTCGATCGCGGGTCGGCAAGATTCCCTGGAGAAGGAAATGGCAACCCCCTCCAGTATTCTTGCCTGGGAAATACCATGGACAGAGGAGCCTTGTGGGCTATAGTCCATGGGGTCGCAAGAGTTAGACAGAGACTTAGCGACTACACCACCACCACCTGTTGAAGACTTGCTTGGCTCTCCTACATCCCCACCTTTCCCTCCTCAGAGCCCTTACCGCACGTGTTTGGCATTCATCAGATATTTCCTTGCATTATTACCTAACTTCAGTGGTGCCTCTTTGTAACCGCATGGGCAGTTCAACCTCTTTATATTTTCTCGAAGCCGTAGAATGTGAACCAAGTATATGACTTTAAATTTTCTGGGGAAAAAAAAATAATTTGCTGGTAACTCATTAAGAATGCAAACAGAATGAAATTGTTGTTAATATGTATTTTACTTAGTTTGCATAGAGGAAGTTATTATGAGGTTTTTCTTTTTTTATATTAAAAGTCTATGAAATCTGGTGTAGATGTTATAATTAACCAAACATCTCAATTTGAACAGTAAATTTTTAGTGCAGATATTTGATCAGTTTCTAGAATTTGTAAAAGTTAGTTGAAAAGTTAGATTCACATACCCACATCGTTCCAAATACATGTAAAAATTTCTCCAATGACTGAGTTGAATATTGGTTTGTATATTAAAATTCATTAAATTGTTTCTATAGATTTATTTTATTTTATTTGGCTGCAGCAGGTCTTGGTTGCAGCATACAAGATCTTTTCAGATGTGGCATGGGAGCTTTTGGCCTTTCCTGGTAGCTCAGCTGCTAAAGAATCTGCCTGCAATGCAGGAGACCCTGATGGAGAAAGGATAGGCTACTACCCACTCCAGTCTAGCCTGGAGAATTACGTGGACTGTATAGTCCATGGGGTTGCAAAGAGTCAGACACGACTGAGCGACTTTTACTTTCACTTGTGAGCTTTTAGGTGTGGCATTTGAGCTCTTAATTGCAGCGTGAGGAATCTAGTTCCCTGACTAGGTATCAAACTTGGGTTCCCTGAACTGGGAGTTTGGAATCTTAGCCACTGGACCACCAGGGAAGTCCCTAAATTGTTGTAAAAGATTCAAAAATTGGTTCTTCAGTCACGCTAATCACACAGGCAGCTTTATTGTTCAGTCGCTAGTTGTGTCTGACTCTTCGGGACCCCACGGACCGCAGCACCCAGGCTCCTGTGTCCTTCACTGTATCCCAGAGTTTCCTCAAACTCATGTCCATTGAGCCAGTGATGTTATCTAACCATCTCATCTTCTGCCATCCCCTTCTTTTGCCTTCAATCTTTTCTAGCATCAGTGTCTTTTCCAATGAGTTGGCTGTTCAGGTGGCCACAGTATTGGAACTTCAGCTTCCGCATCAGTCCTTCCAGTGGCTGTTCAGGGTTGATTTCCTTTCAGATTGACTGGTTTGATCTCCTTGCAGTGCAGGGACTGAGGAGACCATAGTTCAGAAAGATGCACGCTCGTTGTTTCCTGAGCCCACTGCGCAGGGTGCCACCCGAGGGCGTTTCCAGGGTGGTCTTCCTGCGTGGTGTACTTTCCCCCTGATACTTTCAGGACTAACTCCTTCACCTTCTTTAGGTTTCTGCCAAGTCTCAGTTTCTCAACGGGACCTAGTTAAACGTCACAAGCCCAACAAATCCCCACTGCCTGGTACTTCTGCTCTCTGTTTTCCTGCTTTCTTCTCTTACTCCATCCTTACCGCCCTCCATGTGCTGTGGAATTTATTGGCCTGGCCAAAAATTTCATTCAGGGTTTCCATAGTATGTTACCAAAAATCCAAACAAACTTTTTGGCCAACCCAATACTTAATACAAAAACTGTTTATCTCCAGATCCCCTGCTACTATGTAAGCTACTTGAGGGTGGGGTTTTTTTGTTTTTTTATTTTTTGGTCTCAGTTGTATATTGATGAGTCCCAAGTGCCTACAATAATGGCTGGCACATGGTGTTAGTTGCTCAGTTATGTCTGACTCTCTGTGACCCCATGGACTGTGGCCCACCAGGCTCCTCCATTCATGGGATTCTCTAGGCAAGAGTACTGGAGTGGATAGTCATTCCCTTCTCCAGGAGATCGTCCTGACCCAGGGATCAAACCTGGGTTTCCTTCATTGCCAGCAGATTTTTTACCGTCTGAGGTCTGCACGTAACAGACACTTAGTAAACATTTCATGTTGAGTGACAGGCAGGGAGTGGTTACAAGAGGCTTATTTGTGGGTGACTGAACTAAATCTTCCATTGTGCCCACTGCCGCCCGCCTGTTCACGGGGGGGTTTGAGGAAAGAAGATACGAGAGATTGTAAAGGAGTTTAGATTTTGTTAGGCATGTGTCCCTCCAGCCGTAGGAGCGAGGACCTCCTACCTTACCCGGAAGTCTTCTGGAATCTGAGACTGAGCCACGTGAGCTTTTTGCTGCCCCGGTTTGCAGCAGGATGGTCCTCCTGTCACTTCCCTTGCGCTGGGTTTTCTTCGCGTTCCGCTTCTACCGCAGGAGCTTCGCTGAGTTGAGCTCCCGCTGCGCTTGGCCTCTTCCGAGCGGAGGTTGTTTCAGCCAGGTTAAACCCGAGTCACGGCCTCATAGATGTCAGGCGAGTGTATGCTCCTCGGTTTTTGTCTCATCCCAACAAAGATTGGGAGTGACGGACATTAAAGCCCTCGGCGTGTCATAGCGCTCGGGTCTTGGACAGACCATGTTATAGCTCTTAGAGAAATCAGTGTTACAGCTCTACTTTATTTAGAAGATAGCAGGAAAATCCATTTTCAAGGCGTGAGGGCACGTCGATCCAAAGACGCAAAGAGAAGAGCACCGCAGCGTGCGGGAGAGAGAGAAAGTCCGAAATGCTCAACAAAAGAGTCCGAAACGCAGTACTTGGATGCAATCTCAAGAATGACAGAATGATCTCTGTTTGTTTCCAAGGCAAACCATTCACTATCATGGTAATCCAAGTCTATGTCCCAATCAGTAAGGATGAAGAAGCTGAAGTTGAACGGTTCTATGAAGACCTACAAGACCTTTTAGAACTAATACCCAAAAAGGATGTCTATTTCATTATAGGGGACTGGAATGCAGAAGTAGGAAGTCAAGCAATACCTGGAGTAACAGGCAAATTTGGCCTTGGACTACA